GAAGAAACACTACAGGCAAGGAGAGAGTGGAGGGACATAGTCAACAGACTCCAAGTCAACAAATACTAACCAAGAATACTCTATCCTGCAAAGCTTTCCATCCTCTATGAGGAAAGACTAAAGGCCTTCCCAAACAGAAACTCTGGAATTTCAATATGACTAAACCCCCACTCCAAAAAATACTACAAGGAGTACAAAAGCCACGACCAACAGAGGGATGAATAACAACAAAACAAGCCCAAAAAAAGTTATTAAAATAATAAATAAATAAAATCAGAGGACAGACAAACACAATGGCAAATACAGATGCTCACATATCATATTAACTCTAAATGTAAATGGACTAAACTCTTCAATTAGAAGACACAGAGTTGCAGGCTGGATTAAGAACCAAAACCCAAACTTTTGCTGTCTCCAGGAAACACATTTAACTACAAAAGATAAAAATAGACTCAAAGTTAAAGGATGGAAAACAATCCTACTAGCAAATGGACCAAAAAAGAAGGCAGGAACAGCTCTACTTATATCAGATAAAACAGATTTCAAACTCAAAAAGGTAAAAAGAGACCCCAATGGTCACTACATTATGATCAAGGGGACAATATATCAAGAAGAAATAACACTCATTAACATATACTCACCAAATGAAGGAGCACCAAAGTATATCAGACAACTATTATCATCTCTGAAAACAGACATAAGAGAAAACACATATGTAGTATGAGACTTCAAAGCAGCACTATCAACAATGGATAGATCAATGAGAAAAAAAAATAAGCACACTTAAGTGCTAAATAAGGATCTAGAGCTCATGGGCATAACAGACATCTATAGAACACTAAACCCAAAAAATCTCAGTACATATCTTTCTCAAGCACACATGGATCATTCTCCAGGATTGATCACATACTGGGACACAAGACAAACATCAAAAGATACACCAAGATTGAAATCATATGAACCATCTTCCCTGACCATGAAGGCATCAAACTAGAAATAAACCATAAAAAAATGCAAGGGACTCTCCTACCTCATGGATATTGAAACCCACACCACTGGAAGACCACTGGACTAATGAGATCAAAGAAGAAATTTAAAAAAATACTTTGAGTTGAATGACAAGGAGGACACCACGTTCCTAAACATATAGGACATAGCAAAAGCAGTAATAAGAGGAAAATATATAGCAATAGAGGCTCACATCAAGAAACAAGAAATAACTCAAAGTAACAACCTAATCTCAAAGCTCAAAGAACTAGAAAAAGGATAACAAAAAAACACCAAAACCAGTAGAAGAAATAAAAAAATCAAAGAAGAAATAAATGAAATCAAAACTAAAAAAAAAAAAAATCCAAAAGATCAATGAAACCAAAACCGGTTCTTAAAAAAAATAAATGAAATAGGCAAACTCCTAGCCAGGCTCACAAAGGAAAAACGGGAGAAAGCACAAATAAACAGGATCACAAATGAAAGATGAGAAATCACAACGGACACAGCAGAAATCAAAAGACTAATCAGTATCTACTATGAACAGTTATATGGAAACAAGTTCAACAATCTAGAGGAGATGGACAAATTCCTACAACTCTACAATCACCCAAAGCTAGATAAAGAAGAAACAGAACACCTAAACAGACCAATTACAAGCAGCGAAATTGAAATGGTAATCAAAAACCTCCCCAAAAACAAAAGCCCAGGACCTGGTGGATTTACAAATGAATTCTACCTAGCATTTAGAAATGAATTAGTGCCTATCCTTCACAAACTCTTTCAAAACATTGAGAAGGAAGGGATAATACCAAACAGGTTCTATGAAGCCAACATTACTCTAATACCAAAACCGAACAAAGGACAACACAAGAAAAGAAAACTACAGGCCTATCTCTCTAATGAAGATGGATGCAAAAATCCTCAATAAAGTTTTAGCTATCAGAATCCAACAATGTATCCATAAGATAATTCACCACAACCAAGTAGGATTTATTCCAGAGACACAAGGATGGTTCAACATCCGAAAATCAATCAATGTTTTCCAACACATCAACAAATAGAAACATAAAAACCATATGATAATATCAATAGATGCTGAGAAAGCTTTTGACAAAGTACAACACCCATTTACGATAAAGGCCCTTGAAATTCTCGGGATACAAGGAACATTCCTCAACATCATAAAGGCCATCTATGACAAGCCCATACCCAGTATCATTCTCAATGGCAAAAGCAAAATCATTTCCATTAAGATCTGGAACAAGACAAGGATGTCCATTCTCACCATTGCTTTTCAATATAATACTGGAAGTCCTAACCAGAACAATAAGACAAGAGAAAGACATACAAGGAATCCCAATAGGGATGAAAGAGGTTAAACTATCACTATTCGCAGATGATATGATAATATACATAGAGAACCCCAAAAACTCTACAGAAAAACTAAACTAGTCAGTTTAGTAAAGTGGCAGAATACAAAATCAACATGCAAAAATCAGTAGCCTTCCTATAAACAAACAATAAATCTGAAGAAGAAGAAGTAAAAATATCCCTTTTATTACTGAAACAAGAAAAAAATCAAATACTTGGGAATAAACCTAACAAAAGAGGTGAAGGATCTATACAAAGAAAACTATAAAACACTGTTAAAAGAAATAGAAGAAGACACAAAGAAATTGAAAGACATCCCCTGCTCATGGATTGGAAGAATTAACATTATTAAAATGGCCATCCTACCCAAAGCAATTTACAGATTCAATGCTATTCCAATAAAAATTTCAATGACATTCTTCAAAGAAATATGACAATTATTGATGAAGTTCATATGGAATCACCTAAAACCCCTAATAGCCAAAGCTCTCCTGAAAAAAAAAAATAAGGGAATGGAGGCATCACAGTCCCAGACTTCAAACTATACTACAAAGCCATAAGCATCCAAACTGCATGGTGTCAGCACAAGAACAGACACACGGACCAATGTAACCAAATAGAAAATCCAGAAATAAGCCCACAGATCGATGGTCAACTAATCTTTGTGCTAATCATCTACTCTGCATATTTTTAAGAATTTATGTAATTGCACCCTCAGATAGTTGTTTAGGATTTATGTGGTTGTTTTTGTTTAAGTGTGAGATTAATATTTTAAAATATACACTCTAGGCTTGAAACGGAAAATGCAAAGTTTAAAGGTACAATCAAAAAACAAGCATGCAAAAGTGAACATCTTCAAAAAACTCTGCTAAGTACAAATACGGTAAGTCAAGTCTTTTAACTTCTGTGAAAAGGAATTTTATTTCTCCAGTGGCAGTATGTTTCAGTGGTTTGGACAGTATGAAAGGCCTCAATGGTAAACTTATTTATTTATTATATTCATGTTGCTGCTGCTTGTTCCTGGTAGTGTAGTTAACTTTGTAGAGGAAGTTAACTGACTTCATAAAATGTGTTATTTTTGTGATAAGATTCTAGTAAAAAAAATTGTATTAGTCTAAAAGCAGTATTACTACATTTTGTTTATCCATCAATCGATGAACTAGTTTTTCCACCTTCAGGTTATTATTGATGATGCCTTTGAGACCACTGGCACACAATTGCCTGTTGATTTATTTAGTTATTTATTTTTTACATGCAATACTTTTATTTTAGACATGCAAGGAAAGCTCTTTCAGAATATTTAAAGCAAGCAGCTGTATATAGATAACCAAAGAAGCAACATCTTGTTACAGCACACAGCATCCAAAGCAAACAGGCATGAGAAAATGCATATTTATGCAGCATCAAAACCAGATGAATAACATTGCAGGGCAGTGGAAAAAAATGGAAATGAAAGGCCCGTGTTTCCCAGTGCTTTCTACGTGTGATTCTAAATTTTGTATTTGGTAGGCCATCCTGGTGCTTTAAATGACCACAGTACCTGAGAATGGTAAGAATGGAAATAACAGATCGGCATACCTGTCCAGTGTGCATCGTCAATAGGTCTTTCAGTGGCAAACCAATTTGAGCATCTTTTGAATTTATTGTTTGATAACGTACTAAACTCAGGCTTCAAACTCTTTAGATATAAATATTAGTTATTTGGTACTTTTCCTTTTACAATAAAATATGTTGTATGTTTTATTAAGAGTATACACAATAATGATCAATAGTAATGGTTTTAATATTTAGAAATATAAAACTACAGTTAACAATTTAATAAGTATTTAAATGAAGGCTTAATCTGTTATAAAACAAGAACTACTAAAAATAGATATTTAAATTTTAACTATATAAGTAAACCCAATATTAATGCTTTGAAGGGGGTTTACTTTCCATGGAACTGATGACACTGCATCAGAGACTTTGGACAGTTTTCTGATGATTCCTAAAGGGACTGATTGTTCTCGCTAGCACAAAGGTGATTCCATGAATGTGGCATTACACATTTCTTAAAACCTGTGCTTTACTTTCAATATTATATACTAATACAGATTTTTACTTTCTTGTATTATTTCCAAATATGCTTTTATGTGATACATTAGAACACATTAGCTCATTTGTTCATATAGACGGTGTAATATAATCACATAAATATAGTTTCATTTCTTTCAACATTTTCAGACCAAAGCACACTGTGTATCATGGCACTGCATATTTCAATCCAGTGTTTCACTTTATCTTCTTTGGTAAACATTTGAAAGATTACTAGGTTTTTCCTCTTGGAGGATTAATCACAGATGGTTCAAAAATGGTGACATGTATATGGTTTAAGATAACATTACTCTAAACATTCAAGGGTCATATTTTTTCAAGAAGAAATTCAATCAGTTGTGAGCAGGAATAAGCTACATCAAGAACACATATAGAATGAAAATAAAACCCAAGAAAGACGTGCAAGCAGGGACAAAAATACAGTTGTATAGGTATTGATTCTAAAATGTTCTATTATTAGACGAGATAATATGAGTCACCAAGCTGAGGATATTTTCTTTCATTAGCATATCAGCTTTCTATTTCCTCTGAAATGTGGCATATGAGATGAGCAGTCACTTAGTACACAGGCACATTAAAATATTCATGGCGTGGCTCCTGCAGTGGCTTTCAGCACATTTTTCTTGGATGTTTCCTGAACTTCTCCTCCCAAAAGAAACTCATCCAAAATAAAATAAGCCTTCTCAAAATTAAAGATGATACCAAGCTCACACACACTGCCAAAGTACTTGTCAAGTAATTCCACGTAACGATGAATTATTTCCAAGGTAATTAGTTCATTGTCCTGGTCCTCAATAGCACAGCAAAAATACAGGCTCGCATATCTTTTGTAAACAATCTTCAAGTCTCGCCACTCAAGAAAGCTGCACATTTTAGGTTTCCGGGCCAAAATGGATTGAACGAGTTCTCTTGTGATCTTCTTCTCTTTGTCTGACAGCGGGACATACCATTTCTGGAGTCGAAGCTTTCCTTGACGACTAAAAAGCAACATGAACTGCACGGCGGCCGCGGGCCACGGGCGCTGCTGGGCTTGGTTGGGGCGCGGGCGGCGGCGGGGAAGCCCCTGTCACCAGCTCGGGCAGAGGAGGGAGCCGGCTGGCTGACCACAACTGCCTCTTTGAATCTCTACTAATATTTTCAATGTTTAAAAATTCCTCCAAATTTGAATCCTGTTTAGATCTAGAATTCTGAATTTTTCTTGTTATCTACACCTTTTGGTGAGATTTTGGGATTGATTTGCTTTTAAATGTTGTAATATGTTCTGTTCATCAAGAATGAATAGTCTGTCATTGTGCAAGCATTTTTCTGGAAGGAACGTACTTTTCTCCTTTAAAGATTTTAAAAATGATGAGAGATGCTAGTGAAAGAGTATGAACTGTTTCATCCGGACCTTATAGAGTAACATAGCGCTCCAGCACTCGCATGGTTCAGAAACTATGTTTTCCCATTTACTTGAGTTAATCAGCCTTTCAAAAATTTAATGATCCTATCTCAGAAAAGATTGATGTTTAATGCAGGATGCCAATGTATTGATGTATCGTGCAAACTCTGTGATTATTTACCAAGCAGAACAAGATTCTTCTGTCATCCAGACTCTCCTTTATAGGAGAGGTTTCTTATGATTTAAGGTTACAAGATTGCATTGCATTGTGAACCCTCAGTTGGAGCATGGAGCAATGAGGTAGATGCATTAGAGACAACGTAGTTTCTTTAAATCGCAATAATTAGATTCCTGCAGTGAATGTAGAACATTCCTACTGACTGGTCCATATTCTTATAGTCTAATAAACATTGAAAGTTATTCACAGTCACATTATATTAGCATTAGCATACTTTATAGATACTGTGTTCATAGGAATGCACTGTGAAGGACTGTGGCAGTGCCAGGAGATATCCCTTTATAGTGTCACATAAAAATTATTAAGGTATCAAAAATTGAAAATATAAGAATATCCCAAAATAAACTTATTCAAAAATGATGAGTGATTTTTTACTGTTTCTTATAGAAATGAGCTAGAATTATGACATAAAATTATTAGTCACTTTAAGGTCTGTCCTGTAGCTCAAAAATTACTAAGAGAGCTTTTCAGGACTCGGTCAATAGACCTCTAAGTTCTCGAAAAGATTCTCACCATGTCATGCATCTCTAGGCCTGGATTAAGATAGGTGATTAACAGGGAAATGCAAATCAAAACTATAATGCCCAGGCATTAAAGTATATCAGAGTCCAATGGAAGGGGAAACACAGATGATAGATAGAAAAAGCTATAGAATTGAACAAAAGTTACATTTTTTACATAATTAAAGAAGACTTAAATTTTACACCATCTTACACCAGTGGGAATGGCACAGATTAAAAAAAAACTAGCAACAAGAAATGTTGGTGAGGATGTGGAGAAAAAGGAACTCTCCTGCACTGCTGGAGGGAGTGCAAACTGGTCCAACCACTATGGAAACCTGTGTGGAGATTTCTCAGCCTGCTAAAATTGGAGCTTCCATATGATCCAGCTATTCCACTCCTAGGTATTTACCCAAAGGACACAGAAACATTAATTCCAAAGGGCACCTGTATCCCTATATTAATAGCAGCAATATTTACAATAGTTAAGCTATGGAAACAATCCAAATGCCCAAAAATAGAGGACTGGATCAAGAAGATGTGGTACATACACATAATGGATTATTACTCAGCAATCAAAATGATAAGCTCATGCCATTTGCAGCAACAAGGATGGAGCTGGAAGGGATCATGCTCAGCGAAATAAGCCAGAATGAAAAAAAAAAAATACCGGACGGTCTCACTCATAGCAGGAATTTAGAAAACCTAAATAAGGGACCAGGAAAAGGACTAATTATAATAAAATCAAAATCAAAATCAACAAGCAGCTATAAACCAGAGACACACTATGGCAGGGGGTAGGGGAGAAAGGAGTCAGATCAAAACAAGGGGGGGGTGGGAATTGTATTGGGACTATAAGCAAGATGAAAATGCATACATTGTGCAAAAATGAAAAATGATGTAAAATATATAAAATAAAATTTAAAAATATATATGATTAACACAATTTTGAGATGAATAACCTGGATTGGGAAGCGAGAGGTAGCTCTAACTGACTCAAGCCTCCAAATAATATAGTCAAGTATTTATCTGAAAAGAACTTCAGAATATTTCCCAAAGGTTTGTGAAACAGGAAGTAATCCAAATAGTAAACCGAGAGAGTTGATAATCTGACCCTTGTGAAAAACATGTACATAATAAAAGAAAATCAAGACAAAATATGCCGGTCAACCTAAAATGTACAAGGTTAGCAATCTACACAAGTAGTCCACACCTGTGCATTTGGTGTAATAGTCTGAGTATGTGGTTGAGGAAATTGTCTCTGAGAAGTAAACTGGAAGGAAGAGCTGGAAATACAGTTGAACCTCAGTGAAGTTGGGAGGGAGGGGTTATCAAGTCTGGAAATAGTATGTGACAGGCCTCCCCTGGTGGTGCCTCCCCTGGTGGCACAGCGGTATATCGCTGGGCTGCGAAGCTGCCCACAGGCTCTGCAGCGTTGGTTCAATGCCCGGCCTCCCGCGAGGGTCCCACATGGCGCAACAGACCTCTCCTGCAGGGCCCGCTGCTCCCCTCAGCAGTCTGCCTGCTCTGTTCCCCACTCTGGCTCTGGTGAATTCTCTCACCTTCCTGGGCTTCTGACTGTACCCAGAGCTTGTATAAATAAATCTTAAAAAAAAAATATGTGCTGACTGGCAGACATTTCATGTTGCAACTATCCCTAGCCAGCCAGGGAGCAACCGACATGGCACAGCAGACCTCTCCTATCTCTCCCACTGCTCCCCTCAATAGTGTATTTCAGTCAGGCTGCCCGTTCTGTTCCCCACTATGTCTCTGGTGAATCCTTTCACACACACCCTGACCCCCGCACCTCTGGCCTGTACCCCAGCTCTCATATGCATAAAAATAAATAAATCTTTAAAAAAATCAGATTAAAATATAACAGAAGGGAATAAATGATGAAAAGATCAGTCTGTTTACGAGCCCAGGCATTAAAGTATTTCAGAGTCCAATGGAAGGGTAGAAGCAGATGATAGATTGAAAAAGCTATAGAATTGAACAAAAGTTACATTTTTACATAATTAAAGAAGACAAATTTATTTAAAGAGAAAAGTGATTAACAGGAAAGGAGATCTTGAATCCTATAGAAGTATGTTTGTAGAAAATGAGTCTTTCACTCATCCTAAAGTGATTCGATCAGCATAAATGTAGTGGGACTACATGGGAATTTTCCAAAGATTGTCTCAGAAGGAATGTAATTTAACAAAACCTGAAATATATTGAACTATTGATGAAAATGTCTCTAGGGCATCTTCAGTAACTAAATTCTTTTTTAAAAATTCTTTTTTAAAAATTCATTAGAACTTGGTATTTTATGTGTGAAAACCTCTTTTCAACAAATAAATTTTGGCAGTTTAAATTCCAGAAAGAGTAATAATAAACATGTCACATCAACTTAACTTGTATCAAGAAAAGTCATGTTTTTGAAATCTGTCTTTGCTGCCATCAGGTTTATAAATGACATTTTACAAACCTATCGAACCCCATATTACTCATGAACTGTCAAGAATTTTTTTTTTAAATAATAAATTTTATTTTTATATTCCCCCATACAGCTGCACATGCCCCATTCTGACCCCAATCCCTCCCCTCCCGGCCCCCACCCCCCAAAAAGTGTCTCTGGTTCATAGTTTTTTGTTGATTTTGATTTTCACTTTCTTATAGTTATTCATTTTCATGGTCCCTTATTTAAGTTTTCTAGATTCCTGTTATGAGTGAGACCATCCGGTATTTTTCTTTTTCTTTTTGGCTTATTTTGCTGAGCATGATCCCTTCCAGCGCCATCCATGTTGCTGCAAATTGCATGTGTTTATCTTTTTTGAATGCTGAGTAATATTCCATGGTATATATGTCCCACATCTTCTTGATCCAGTCATCTATTTTTGGGCATTTGGGCTGTTTCCAAAGCTTAGCTATTGTAAACAGTGCTGCTATAAACATACGGGTGCAGGTGTTCTTTGGAATTGATGTTTCTGTGTCCTTTGGGTAAATACCTAGGAGTGGAATTGCTGGATCATATGGAAGCTCTATGTTTAGTAGGTCCAGAAATCTCCACACAGCTCGCCATAGTGGTTGGACCAGTTTGCATTCCCACCAACAGTGCAGGAGAGTTCCTTTTTCTCCACAACCTCGCCAACATTTGTTGTTGCTAGTTTTTTTAATATGTGCCATTCTCACTGGTGTAAGATGGTATCTCATGGTAGTTTTGATTTGCATTTCCCTGATTACAAGTGATGTTGAACATTTTTTCATATGTCTGTTGGCCATTTGCATTTCCTCTTCAGAGAAGTTTCTTTTTAGCTCTTCTGCCCATTTTTTGACTGGGTTATTTTCTTTGTTGTTGTTGAGTCTCATCAGCTCTTTGAAGATTTTTATGATCAGTCCTTTATCATTAGTGTTGGGTGCAAAAATGTTCTCCCAGTTGGTGGGGTTTCTCTTTGTTTTTGTTATTGTCTCTTTTGCTGTGCAGAAGCTCTTTAATTTGATGTAGTCCCAGCTGTTTATCTTTGCCTTCACTATCACTGCTTGGGTGATGTGTCTGTAAAGATGTCTTTGATATGCAGATCACGTAGTGTTTCACCTATATTTCCTTCTATGTATTTTATGGTTTCAGGTCTTATGTCTAGTTCTTTAATCCATTTCGAGTTGATTTTTGTGTATGGTGTGAGGTAGTGGTCAAGCTTCATTCTTTTGCATGTAGCAACCCAGTTTTCCCAGCACCATTCATTGAACAAACTCTCTTTGCTCCAATGCATAGTCTTTGCTCCTTTGTCAAAGATTAGTTGACCATAAATATGTGGGTTTATTTCTGGATTTTCTATTTGATTCCATTGGTCTGTATGTCTGTTCTTGTTCCAATACCATGCAGTTTTGATGATTAGGGCTTTGTAGTATAGTTTAAAGTCTGGGAGTGTGATGCCTCCATTTCCTTCTTTTTTTCAGTAGAGCT